TTTTGTACTGCTGTTACACAGAACAAAACGCATAAAAACGCAAGCAGCAAGTAAAAACATTGCAAAATTATTTATGAGGGGCACTGCCAGTAGGAATCATGTATCTCACCACTGGCATGCGCAAAAGCTTTATGCCTCAAAACAACAAATACCAGTATCTGCTCAATTTTTGCCAGCTAAGTGCTGAAAGCTAAAACACCCTCCGATTTTCGTATTTTTTGATAGATTATTTGTGATGTTTTTATCCCCCGAAGATTGATTAAAAGCAGCAGAGGCAGTTGTGGCTTCTTGGCTTATGCTGCGTTAATGTCGTTTGACTTCTGAAAAGAATCAATAAACTAGAGCTTTTCCACTAATGAATTTAAATCACTGCTCAAGCTTTTACGAGGCATAACTTTCAAACAGTCTTATGTACATAATAACATACATAATAACAACAAAAATAATAAAGACGGCTGAACCGACTATCAAAAATTTGCCAGGATAATCTGCCGGGGATGATGCGTAATGACTTTTGATCGGATTTACTTGGAATGGATCTGTCTGTGGATGTGATGAAGATTTCAGATTTCTACAAGTAAAGCGGAGAAGGTGACTTTTGTTTACATATTTAGATTGATTTGATTGTACCGATTGTGACAATGATGGAATTTATCATATTCGTTGGCTGGATGAAAGTTGCCGAAGGCCTGTTGAATCCGTTCGGCGAAGACGATGATGATTTCGAATGCAATTTTCTGCTTGACAAGAATTTGGCAGTCTGTTTCACTATTATATGTTCAAATTTTTTTAGCCCAGTTAGTCTGGATTATCGAAGCGAGCTCTCGATATTCATGGGCTTGCAACTGTGCCATACCCACCCTTCTTGTGCTGCTTTATACCACTTCGTACATTTTTATGCGTTTTGTGCAGTGCTACAGCTGCACAAAACGCATATTGTCACGAGGTTGTCTGTGTGTGTATGTGTGTGCGTATGTGTACGTGCGTGTGCATGTGTGTGTGCGTGTGTATATGTCCGATACATCTTGTCCGCAACTTTCAACTCCGAAACTACAAAAGCTAAGAAACTGAGATTTTAGAGGAATGTTCCTCGCCCGCGTGTAACTCCGCATATTTAGTTTTAGCGTTCTTTTCCCGGTACCACGTACTATCCCGTGAAGGTTTTGGCCGAGAAGTTATTATCTCGGGGAACACGAGAGCTAGAGGGCTGAAATTTTACGGCAGTGTCCTCTGCCCGTGCATGACCCAGCAAATTTAGAATAAGCTCTCCCGCGCGCTCAGGTATCCGGTACGCCCCCGTGGAGGTTTTGGCGGAGAAAATTATTATCTCGAGAATTATGGAAGCTAGGAAGCTGAACTTTTAGGGTAATGTGCCATGCCCACGTGTAACTCCGCAAATTTAAATTCAGCCTTCCTGCGCGCCCGGGTATCACATGCGGCTCTGTGAAAGTTTTGGCGGGGGAATTATTATCTCGCGAGTCACAAAAGCTAGGGAGCAAAAATTTGCGGTAATGTCCCCTACCCAAATGCAACTCCGGGAGTTTAAATTCAGCCTTCCCCTAGATCTGGATCCCAACGTTTACGTGAATTTTTTGGCGGGAGGAAATATTACTCGGAAACCAGAAGAGGTGGAAGGCTGGAAACTTTAGGAAGTGAAAGGCTGAAAAAAAAAATGTTTTTTCCTGTGCGGGGCACACAAACTCAAATTTAGTTCTCAAGTATGCCGACGCCATATACACGACCACGTAAAAGTTTCGGTGCGAATATCACTCAGAAGTCAGAAACTTAGGAGAATGATTTTGAAAGGATGTTCACCCTACAGGGTTTTGATGGGAAATTTTGCAACTTTGAAATTTCAATTATTTTTACACTGACCAACGTGCAAGGCAGTGAAAATCCTTAGCAGGTAAACGACGTTCGCTGGAAGGAGCTACACAAAAAAAGACGCATAATCGCACCGGCTGCCCTGGTGCATGCCACTATTTATTGCCTTTACTGCGCACGTGCGTCATCTTTTTTCTACTCGCCTGGACGTTTTTTTGCGTTTTTTGCTGCAACAGTTGCACAAAACGCATATTGTCGAAACCCTGTGTGTGTTCCGAGTGCATTTTATCTGGAGCTTTCAACTCGCCAACCAGAGAAGCTAGGAAGCTGAAGTTTTAAGGGGGACTCTCAACTGACGTTTGATCTCACAAATTAAACTCGGCGTCCGCGTGCGCCTGGATCTCACATACGATCGCGCAGAATTTTTGGTGCTTAGATTAATAACTCTTGAACCAGGAAAGCTAAAAAGCTGCAGTTTTGGGTGAATGTCCCCTGCCTGCGTATGATCCCGCAAACTCGATCTCAGCTCTCCCCTCTCCCACCCGTGCCTAAATCTCACATACGGACTCGTGGAATTTTTGGCGTCAAAATTAATGACCTGGGAATCATAAAAGTTGTGATGCTGAAATTTCAGAATAATGCTCCTACCCGCGCATAAATTCAAACTCTGCACCCGCCTAGGTGCCAGTTTTGATATGCAAAAGTTTTGGTACCAAAATAATAACTCGGAAACCACAAAAGCTAGAAGGCTGAAATTTTAGGAGAATATTTTCCTTGCGTACGACTCATAAATTTAAAATCAACCAGCTTTCACAAGCACCTCGCTCTCATGCACGACACTTTAAATTTTTTTCACGAAAATTATTACCTTGGGAATCAGAAAGTTAGGAAGATGGAACTTTGGAATAATGCTCCCTGCAGGCATTCTAAAGTTTTATCTTCCTAGCTTTTCTGGCGTACGCCTAGATCTCACGTGCAGACAGGTGCAAGTTTCAGCGCCAAGATTAATAACTTGAGAACTTCAGAAGCTAGGAGGCTGAAATTTTAAAATAACTTTCTCTTCTCGTATACGACCCTATGAATTTAAAATCAGCCCTCACACTTGCCCTGGTCTCACGTGCGGGTACGTAAAAGCTTTGGCGCGAAAATATTAATTCAGAGAGTAGAAAAACCAGGGACTTGAAAATTCAGAATAATGCTTCCTGCCCGCGTTTAAATCAGTCCTTACGCGCTTAGATCTCGCGAAAGAAAAAGTGAAAGCTTTGCCACCAAAATTAGTAACTCGAAAATCACAAAGACGCGCATCAATTAGTACTGCAGTGGGCACATTTAGCAGCAAGGTCCCCCTGGACAAAGTTGAAAAAGCGTCAACTGGGCATGGATGCACAAGTTTCTGTCGGATAGAACTACACATACGTTCGCTTGACCAGGTTACACAAAACGCACAATGGCATCAGCTATACTGGTGCGCGCCGCTTTTTATTTCTCTCGCTTACCATTCACTTATATGCGATTCCCTTCAGTTTTCAACAAGAAAAAGAACTATTTTCCCTCGGACAATTCATTTCATTCTTTCGTAGTCGTTTGATCTTAAATTCCGGAATAAGGGCGAGTAATATTGGTGGCATTTTGTTTTTGACTTAACAAAGTTAGTTCTCGTAACTTTTTTGCCTCTATCCTCATGTTTTGCTCCCAGCTCCGCTGGCTGCAAAGTTCGTAAATAGTGCTTTGTTCGTGCACGGGCGAGAACTTCATATCAATAGTTGAAGCAATCTTTGCTTTGTCAGCTGATCATATAACTCTTAAAATGCTGTATTACGCCAAGGATATTATTGCAGACATCGCTTTGTATCGTTGATGACGCATCAAATGATGCACCCGAGTTAGAAAAAGATCTGTTCTGGTCGAGTAGCGAAGTGGACGCAATTTATTCAAAGGAATCCGCCGAAGATAACATCAATCCACTCGTCGGCTCCGCTACCCTAGCTCGGTACACATGAATTTATTTTTATGCATTTTTATTTAAATCTAAAATATTATGAAACATCATGTTTACATGTTTATGCGCCTGTGTTTATCCGGGTAATTTTAATCCGGAACTGTGCGGACCAGGTGCAGAGATGAGGAACCACGCTATGATTTATAGCTAAACAAAGTATCTGACTGTCACGTATCCAGCAGTTTTTCATAAGATCTGAGAAAAATAAGAGTAGACCAAAATGCGATGCTTCAGTTCATAAATTTGTGGTTTGGAGATTATTTTTGAAGATTTTCTTCATTTTCAGCATTCCAACAGACAGCGATGAAACAAAAATGTTTGTGCGCAAATCTGTGGACATGACAGCGTCAGAAGGTGCAGGTCGATTTAGCAGTGACAGAATTTCGAGGAAATTACGAAAGTATTTTCAATAAGTCTTTCTTAAACTGTGGCTCAGATCCTTTCAGCATATAACTTAAGACTGATGTGAAATCACTTTGTGATGTCAGACTGAATCGTGCCAGGCAGGAATGGCGTACGAACGAAAGCAAAGGAGAAGTACTTGTTCGTCCTCTTTACTAAATGCGGATAATCGTGAGGAGCAGATATCCTTTTTTATAAACAGCTGACTGCAAGATATCGCAGAAATCGCTAGAGAGAACAAAATCTGCTGGGTAAAACTTGTACTCGCTTTGTAAATTATTATCGAGCGTAGTATATCAGTGGAACAAAAACAATTGCTTAGTCTCATCCGGAGCTTTAGTGGGCATAAGTAGCAAGGACTGCAAACTGAAGTTGAAGAGTCTAGGGCAAGCAGGTTTCACACAGAGCTGACATCTAGATGTGAACAGCATCGAGAGCTCAGTGGGGACCTGCGGTATACGTGGGTATATGTTTTTTTGTCCTTGAAGTGAAGAGTGGTTTTCAAAAAACGATAAAAATGGGCTAAAAAATGTCTTTATTTGAGAAAAGAAAATTTTCCGCTCTCAGATGTTGAGACAAATGACCTAACAGAAGCAAAAAGGAATTGCTGATAACATCTGTGATAATCACTGTTTGAATAGCTTTCTCTTTCATATTAGAACATGAGCTCAGACAGGACAGCATACTTGTAGGATTTAGTTGCAAAGAATCATGACTTTACGTTTGTGATGGCTTATATATACACTGTTCTAGAATTATTCTTTTAAGATTTTGGAGCTGTTTCAGCTTTCCCATCGAAAAGCAGTAGCCTGAGAAAATAATTAATCGAAGGCTAGCCTTTCAGATTCAGTTCAGTATTTCCAACAACGAATACATGTGCGCCGAAAAGGCACTCGGTATTTGTGATCAGTTCGGTGGATGAAAATTTGCATCGAGCAGGCGCAACGTCGCCGACAAGTGCTTCACCGCGTCAGAAACCAATTCGGCGGCATATGTCCGCCTTCGATATTTCCGGCCATTTCAGCAGTACTTCGTCCTCACGTATCTCTTTAGCTAAATTATCACTCTGCTTTCGATTTGAAATTGCTTTTTCTGCAGTGAATCATCAAGACTGTCCAGTCTGTGGCTGGGATTTTAATGTCACTATAGTTCAGCGCATTTTTAGCTAAACCGTCTAGTGCTAGTTGCATCGTCTGTTTTTATTCCACATGCGCACCATTTCCTCGGAAGCAGCAGGATAATTGTATTTTTGTTCGTAGTTATCAACTGCTAATATACTACATCCAATGATTGTAAGCAAAACGAGCAATGCGTCCTGTCGCGCTAATTCACTTTCGTGGCAGTCACGATCCTTGCGCGCCACTTAACTGCCGCTATCATAAAAGGGAGCTTCAAGCACTTCTGCTTCTGCTCTTTACTTTTTTTTTAAGCGATTACCTCCCCATTTTTACCATTGCAAGGCTTGCACATTGTAGCAATATTGGGCGATGGAGCAGCAGCCTCAGTGACACCTTCAGCAGCTTCACATCACCAAAGTAAGCATTTTTTATGATATAAGGTTAATATAAAGTTATAAATTGAAAAGACGATCAGACGACAAATATATCACGATTGTATTTCGTTGCATCTGTGCCAGATACCATAATTTTTGCGAGAAAATAATTTACGGGATTTGGCCAAACTGGCTCATTTTTGAGCACTTGAAAGGAAAGGTCTCGGAAAATAGCGGAGTTTCTCTTTTTACCTATTTATTTAACAATAAAACAGTTTATTGGCAGCTGCCCTAGTATTCAGGGAATATTATGTCTTAATATACGGATACAATTCATTACACTTTCGGAAAATACAGTCACACTTTTTTCGCATGAAATTTAACTGATAGCTGTAAATTTAAATAACTCACCAATCAAAATGTCCCTGTGCATTGTGTGTTGCTAGCCCTGTTGTCATTGTGCATTGTGTCCCAAATTGCTAGCCCTGTTAGCATGAGCGCGAAGAGGATATCAAATTCGGCAAACACTGGACATGAATGTGCTCAGCAGTCTGGAGTTGCATTCGTATCGAGTTAGAAGAAACGGATCCCTCGCCACTATTGCTGGCCAAAAGGCCACCTCCAGTCGTCTGACCTTCTACATCCGTAAATCCGTTAAGCAGGACACACTGCTTGCTTTGCCTACGATCGATAAAAATCACACGTTAGTGACTGTTGCTTCCTAGGCGAGAAGCAACTCCTCACAAAGATTCAGAAATGATGTTGCATTCATGTAGTGAATACCGTAGGCAAGAATTAAAGGTGCATAGCTGGAGTTCGAAAGATCAGGCATAGTAGCAAGCAATATTCCGAATAGTTTTGGGATGTTTTGAAGAGTTCCATGTGTTGCTATTCTTCGCCGTACCGATGCAGTTAGCGATGAAGATGCAGCACTTCATTCTAACCTGCCGGTCAATGTAGCACATAATTTTTGTCATCCTGGAAGTTAAAATTACATCTTAAATGGAAGATATTGAAAATCCATTTACTGTTTTCAGCGGATCCGTTTACTCGATTTGAAAGGCTTGGATCTCATACAGGATCACGCGCTACTTTGCCGATTCATCTTCTGAGCCCTGTGGAGGAAGAAGATCCAAATAATTTAACAGTTGGTAAAACGGTTTCAACTCAGCCAGTTAGCTTGAAAAATATCGATTTCGGCGTCGAAATGAGCAAAGTTCGGTTGTTCTTTATTGTTTTTTCTATGCAGTATTTCTACATAATTCATTGGAGTGATACGTCCAGGAGAAGGGAGGATGATCGAGAAGAGATGTGCATTTCTTTTCGGCTCTCTGGAGATGCTAGATTGATGCACTGGAAAAAATGCGGGAAATTGAGACAAACGACACAAAATTCAGCCCTGAACAGCGTAGATGGTAGCAAAAGGCTTTCACCTCTTCCTCGTTTTCCCTCATCACGCGCCCATCTCCCATCGGTTGCTTCCGTTGTAAAAGTCTGCATCTCTTTAACCTGGATTTC